TGTGTGTGTGTGCCAAGTCACGTTCAGCATACAGATATCTATTTCTGATCTTTTCTTTCTGCTAATTAATTATTAATTGTAAATAATCATACATGTAACTATGGGGGAGGGCGTTCTAAGTTGTGATATCATGTGCGCAATTGTTTCCATATTAATAAAATATGTTTAACCTAAACCTACCACTTCACGAAATGTCCTGTCCCCAGATTTGCCACACATAGTGTCAATCAGCATAAGAGTTTTCTTCAGGTTTCACAAGCTGACACTATTATTAAAATACAGCCCCTAACCCTGTAATAACTTAATTTCTGAACTCTGTTCTTGGAACCAAACACATTTTAACGTTTTACACGCTCGAGCATTACATTTTTTTGCACGTGTCCCTGACGGTGCTCCGTAGTCAACAGCTCGCCTCAACGCTCCAGTTCTGTTCAATGCATGCATATGTTCAGTGATGTTACTTAGTAGCCCATTTACCATGAAGACTGACTGGGTGTGGCTGTGCAGAATAAAACTGTTTTCTCGTGGCTTTCCCACAGTTTATTCATGAAAGTCGTCAGACACATGTCGTCAGACGCTAGGCAGCACAAGTACTGCTCTCCTTACGAAATAGACAGCTACCGTTCATCGTGCTTGTGAATGTTGTGTGTAACATTGACTGCAGCTGTTCAAGTAGTAGATCAATTGATGCAACACCTGGTGTTTAATACCAGCGTGTCTAATCAAATTTATCACTGTGAACGTGAATGACATGACATTCTATTCAGAGCTTGATACACTTTAGTTGATCATACTGTAGTTCAATGAGAGAAACTACATATAATGTATGGACAACAAATATACACATTGTCGTTTATTGTTCGTATGAAGTCTGTATGAAGTAGTTTACAATCACAGTAAGTCGTTTGAAAGAGAACAGCACATACGTCACAGAGTGAGACCTGGGATTGTTTCCCTGCCTGGGTACCATGTGCGAGTCACTGATTTGTATCATGTCCCCCGCCAGTATATACTCACTCACTGATATCAGTCGTCTAAAGTTTGTCAGCGAGATCATCAATAAGAACGGCTTAGTAATGCGTCAGCTGCATGCTAATGCAGAACTACAGAAGATAGGCACAACAGCATAATGTCTACCTTGTGTTTCAATGTTTGCTGCAGTGTATGAAACAGTGAACACTTATCATCCTGTTTGGAGTTCACTCAATGCCAAGCATCAGCGGAGAGAATGACAGACTGTAAATGTTTTCATGAAGTGATATGGCTGTATGGGAGAGAGTGATTTAATGCCATATTCTCTGACATATATATCTGGAAATGTTATCGTGTGTCGGTTTTTGAACATTTGTTAACAATTGAGCAAATATCATAGCCCCTTTGACCAGAAGAATAAGGAACATTACTCTGACACTATGTGATATAACAGAAATACTGTTCAAAGCGGCGATTCATCAAACTCGCCCATTCTACAGAAAGTTCTTTAACCAATGTTTATGTTGTCAGGGCCTTTCAAAAACAAGAAAATGTTACCAGGAACGAGTTGACTAATTAGGGAATATGTCTTACCTTTAACGAATATTTCGGAAACATACATCATAAAGGTAGTTAAACATTCTGCCTTTCGTTTGGATCATTTTGGTGAAGTTGGTTGGTTGGTTTGTTGTTTTACGCCGCACTCGGCAATATTCCAGCTATGTGACGGCGGTCTGTAAATGATCGAGTCGAGACCAGACAATCCAGGGTTTGATATCATGATCTGGATCGATGGCATGCTTCAACCAAGTCAGCAAGACTGACCACCCGATCCGTTAGTCGCCTTTTACGACAAACATAGTCGCTTTTACGGCAAATATGGGTTGTTGAAGACATATTCTACCCTGGATCTTTATGGGTCTTTTGGTGAAGTAATGTCTGTTAAAGTCTCAGCATAACTGTCTCGAAAGTTGAACGTGTGTTGCACTGTGCAAGTTAAACACAGTCTGATATTTGATTGTGTTGTATTTCTAAATGATGTTTAAAATAAGCATGGACTGTATGTACTTGATATAGCCCAACACCAGTTGCCTCCCAACCACCACCACATAAGAAATTTCAAAACAAATAGAAAATATCAAAAAATATCCTTAGGCTCACATCTTTGAGTATCATTTCATACCCAGTATGACACAGGCAAATGTGTTTAACCATGTTTGACTTGAATAGTATTTGAAGAATTAATACCTGAAAAAAATAAAGCATGTATACACGTCAGAATTTCTCTCATGAGCTGCCGCGGCCACTAAAGATATTTAGTTCCTCCCCTTAGGATCCGCTGGTCTCAGAATTGTCCCTTAAAGTGCATGTGGGTTTCACCAAACTAGGAAGGTGAACTGTCACATTTCACTAAACAGACATACACACATGTGATATTATTGCAATAGTGATCAAAGTGAAGTTGAACTCTCATTTAGATATTGCGCCACCTGTCATATGTATCATGTCGGTGCATTGTGTAGACTCTAAGTGTGAGGTGTATACAGATAGGGTGGGAATTTAACAGGGCAATATGAGGTGCATACAGACTTACAAAGCATCACACTACTAGAGTATAGAGTATATTGATTGCAATAGTATAGATATGCGATAGTAGTCTGCTGCATTGTAGGGTGCTCCCCAGCCTGAACGAGTGACTGTAAACAGCGATGTCTCGTGTCACACGTCGCCAACAATCCTTCAGTTTGGTATGTTCTCCCTGACTCACTGCATGTACCGCCAGTCAGAGACTGTCATTTGTGTTTACGTTGAAGCTGACATTCAGAGTCGTCGTGACATAGAGTGACTATGGACTATATAGAAGTTAACGGGTTTCCATCCTTGTGATCTAACCATAACAATTCGACATCTAACCACTGACAACAGATGATACATATGCATTGTCATTATGGATCTGGTGTTCTCTGTTTTATCGTAGTTCGAATATTAACCTCTTGTGGGTGATTTTGTGTTTCTGAAAAGATATAATTATAACTCTAGGTTTAGTAAATTCTGTTTTAATGGCTTCAAAGATACAAAAACGAATACAATCATGTGTTAGCACCAAACTGAATAGACACATTATTGGCAAGAATGACGAACAGTGGACATAATGTAAGCAATCACTTCATCTAGTTTTTCATTTTACCCTGAGTACAATTGTTTTGGTAGAGGGAAGCTCGACTTTATAATTATTTTTTTCCCTTTTTTAAAATATATCCTTCCTCTTCCTTACACATTAATCAGCAAAATGTAACAACATGGGTTAATGGATAAATTATAATCAATTTTCGGTATTCTCATACACCTTCAACTGTGAGTGATGTTGTTTGTGTGACTACCCAATATTCAGTATCGACTGCTGGGCAGGGTTGCTATCTGAAATGAAACAAAGATGCAACCAAATGAGTATGCAACTAGAAGATGCGATTATCAAACACACCCACAACTTAATAACTGGTTTACAAACCTAAGGGTTCATATCCCATGATACCATATCTATAAATATAGAATTCCAGTTGTGTTTCTGTATTAAAACACATTTACACATAAAGCCGGGAATATGGGATCATTCATCTCAATAATGAACATATATTCAGGGATAATGACGTCACGTGTATTATTGTTAACATGAACTGGATCCTGGCACGCCAAAGGGACATAATCCAATTAATTGCGGCGATGTTTACAACTGGGCCATTGTCAGGGGTCATTTCCAAATTGAACGGTTAACAAAGAAATCGAGATATACAGAACTTGAAATCAGTAAATAGACACACAATATCAATGAATAATTAACAAATTATATTGACGCACACAATTTTAAGTTTCCAATCATAAATGGCAGTGCAATTGGTCAAATAAGGGGCAGTAGCAACTAGTAACAAGCCGTATAAAAAAATGGCAATGCCCTCACGAATGTCCCGAATTTGTCAATAAATACCTTAAAAAGACTCACGTGCGTCGTTCTTAAATCTGGAAACAGTGATGGTAGCTGGCAGGAAGTCGGACTTCTCAGAAGGTAGCCCGTCTGAACAAGCGCACCAGACGCAGGGGTGGTAGTAGAAGACCTCGAATCGCCCGCGTCTCACTATTTTATAGGCAGAGCCAGCCTTCTGGAAACTGTCATACCAAGAAGCCAATCGAACGACATAGTATGTTCTGTTTGTTTACTGCTACAATGTAGAGATCATATGGTTTACGGTTTTTGTAACACTTCATTTTAGCGCACTTTATCAAATAAAAATCATATTGTCTTTACGAATTAATGAATTACTCAGTACATTTTAAGCATAGGTTCACCCTGATATTTCACAGCTGATTGGTAGATACAGATATGAAGTTGTTTCTGTGTAACAACATCATAAGAATTACTACTGTGAGTAAAAGCAAGCTTCCGAGTGCCTGTTGCAGTCCGTGCTATTATTCCAGTCCATGCAGCTCTAATGTCTGGGGAGAATCGGCAGCATCTGAACGGATATAATCACAGGTTTAACAACAAGTAGCCACCTGGCGATTCGTTAGTAAGGAATGATGCAATTTCACTTTCCTGTAGCACTGCTATTGTTCACGCCTGAGTGGATTTATTTGTAATGAAAATGTATCAGTATTGATATGGCAAAATCCACATGTTTGGCTCGTGTTAAGAGGGATCATTTTCATCTGATATCTAGACGTCAGTCTTTCATGTTTTGTCATTCTTCAGTGAAACTGTTTTGTTGCTTTTGTTTTGCTATACACGGGACAAAAGGGACGAAACGTAAATATGAAATGGAATAAGAAACAACTTGGTTTTAGTATCACAGATCAATATCCATAGTATTTCTCTTCTATGTTGCAAGTAGACACATATAGATAATAACAAAACTAGTAATTTCAAAAGCGAGATAATAAGGTTGCCCCGATCCTACTTTAGTCACAAGTATGCCTAGCAGCCTATATGACCAACATGACTATAGGCTGTATTTGTGGTATAGTTGCTGTTGCTGTGTGTAGTCATATTGGGTGATTATATTCTCGGGTCAAACCTATCACTTCCACAACCATAACCCTGTCTATTTTCGGTATGTTGTCCAGTTCTTGAAGTAAACTGGCCATGCTCAACCAGGAACGTCTGCATGTGTCCTCCATGTCCAAGGTTGCCATGATAGACATTATATTCGCATTGTCGACAGAGGTAAACCGATGGTGTCTCAGCAGAACCTAGCAATCTAATTTACATCAATCAGATTAAAACATATGCTCGACATCGTGAAAAGAAATATAGAAATAGCATACATTCAAATAAAATCAAGCAAATATGTAATCAAGCAATCAATGCAACGAACTACTCAAGTAAGTAAGAAAGCAACACAGTAGCTAATCAACCAACCAAACATTGAACAATGAAGAAGGAAACAAAATGAGGACTGAATGATTAATGTATGACAATGAGTCGATGTATCTGAAAAAAAATAAACAAAGAAACTACAACTATTTCATCTAAAAAACATAATGATTCTGATTGGTGTACACTTACGATTACAAGTGAAACATGTTATTTTCATTGGTAAAATGAATATCATCAAACATATGAGTAGTATGCTAATACCTATGAAACAAAATAACAAGACAAATTGCAAATATGTAAGTATTGACTTACTAAAATGCTGAGCTGTGAAAAGTATCTGGCACTCACCCTCAGACACTATGCTGACTGTATAAAACAGCCCCCTGCCTACGCCATTGTCCACTGTTAACTGATAGTCCCCGAAGTCCTGTTGTTGGAGGTTAGTAAGGTGTAGTCTGGCAGTGACTGAGATGTCGGAGACAGGGCTGGAGGAACCAGTGAGGTCCTGGCTGGTGCTGGTGGTTCTACTCCAGGTGAATGTAGGAAGGGGGTAGGCCAGGACTGACACAGACATATTCACGTTACCACCCAGTATAGTGACATACTTAAGTTGGTGGGACACTGTCTCATCAAGTCGGGGAGAACCTGATCAAATGAAACGAATTGTAAATATAAATATAAATGTGCGTGAGCTCAGTTGGCTAAATCATAATTTTCCAAACCTTAAGACACAACAGTCCAACTGCATGAGCCCCATCTGTGTCTTTTACAAATGAAGAACATCCAAGTTCTGATATATCTGAGTTCGGTTATGCATGACAGGGGAAAAAGAAGTATGTCATGGTAGCCAACATCAAGTATAAGGAATTTACGTTAACTATTTATGTTCCTATTAAAAGAAGGAAAAGGTTGTATTTAATTGCTACACAAAATAACATTTCCAGGGACTATTGCACCTGTTTGCAGGTTACCAGGTTTGTGTCATCTCCGAAACGGAGAACCTGCAACCAGCTGAGGTAGATACGTTTAAATAATGTAACATTTGTGATATATTTCCTATTATTCTATTTTCTATTTCTCTGTGAAATGTGGGAATGAGACATTTAGACAAGAAGTAAATGTGGGGATCCCCATGGGCACGATTTGTTCTCCCCTTCTTGGTGATCGGTTTCTTTTTGCATATGAATCGGACTTTCGGTTCATTTTGAAAAGGTTAAAACTCCGGCCAAGTAGTTTAATCTAAACTTCAGATTTATCTTAATCTGACATTGTTCAATAACGGTCAAATAGCCAGTTCACTTCCACTGATTTACCAACCAAAACTTGAAATACAAAACACCAGTGACACCGTCTCATCTGTTTCATTTTTAGATGTAAGCATTAAGTTTCTGAGTGACAAAAAACATCTCCAATAGACTGCATAACAAGACGGATGAGTTCAAATTTCCCTTTATGTCTCTCGTTCAAAAGTTGTGTGATCAATGTCACAACTTTCAGGGCCTCAGTCAAGTTTTAAAAATAGGTTTTTGGTAGACAAATTTCCAAGTTTGTGTGACCAGAATGATTTTGGATGCAATTCACTAATTTTTACTTGTACCATACGTTCACGTGTATTGTTGCGTTTTTTTACACGTTCATGTTACCACGCAGTCTAGAGGCGTATTGGAGTTGCTGGGCAACTGGCCCATCTATTCGAGAGGCACCTGGTTTAATGTAAACAACATATGTAATGACTCTAGAACAAATAATCTCCGTTGAGGGCAAAATATTATGAAGACCAAATTTATCGATTATGTAGAATTATTCATCAGGACACTTTCGTTGATATTTCAGCTGGGCAGTATCAACATAAGAGACATGATCATAACACAGATATACAAGCATACCGTAGGCCGGCCATATACTCAACAGCGTTATTATCATATACACAGTTGTGACATAAACCATCAATGGAAATCATCACAACACTACCAGCCGAAAATAATATCCAAACAGATTACATTTGACCAGCATCTCCAATCCTTGGCTGACAGGTACCCCGATGTTGTTACTGGCAGTACAGGAGTAGTTCCCTCTTTGTCTACAGTCTGCTGACTCCAGTCTATATTCTGATGTCAGGGAGTTATTTGCCTTTGTCAACTCCTCAGTTTCATTCAGTATCCTGATGACTGACCTTGGATTACTATCAACCTGGCATCTCAAGGTCACTGGATCCGACTCGTTAACAGTCACTGAACCACCGTGAGAGTTCGCAGTAAACATACTCACTGTGGCAGGATCTGAAATTATAACAGCGTGAAAATATATGGTTCGGTTTACAATTATGAAGATAATGCACAACCAAGTATTTTTTACTTAACACTATGTTAAAGGATTGTGATGTGTAGACTATATACTGACACAGAACATCAACACTGACTGGAACACTGTCACCAGCGTAACTTACACTGAACATCAACACTGACTGTAACACTGTCACCAGTGTAGACTATATACTTACACTGAACATCAACACTGACTGTAGCACTGTCACCAGCGTAGACTGTATACTTACACAGAACATCAACACTGACTGTAACACTGTCACCACTCCCGTGAACATTTAAACCTGACATCTGTTGGAGCCTGTCTTAGATCTGTCAGCTTGTCCTAGACTCAGAGTGGCTCCACTGCTGAAGGCTGTTCCATCGTGTAACCACCTATAGGTACATCCGGGTCTACAGAGGGCGGAGCACGTGATTGATGGAAGAGCCTGGTGTTCTGTCACCAGTGTAGAGTATATACTTACACTGACCATCAACACTGACTGTAACACTGTCACCAGTGTAGACTATATACTTACACTGAACATCAACACTGACTGTAACACTGCCACCAGTGTAGACTATATACTTACACTGAACATCAACAATGACTGTAACACTGTCACCAGTGTAGACTATATACTTACACTGAACATCAACACTGACTGTAACACTGCCACCAGTGTAGACTATATACTTACACTGAACATCAACAATGACTGTAACACTGTCACCAGTGTAGACTATATACTTACACTGAACATCCACAATGACTGTAACACTGTCATCAGGGTAGACTATATACTTATTTAAAACATCCACACTGACTGTAACACTGTCACCAGTGTAGACTGTATACTTACACTGACTGTAACACTGACTGTAACACTGTCACCAGTGTAGACTATATACATACACTGAACATCAACACTTACTGTAACACAGTCACCAGTGTAGACTATATACTTACTTTGAACATCAACATTGACTGTAACACTATGACTGGTGTAGACTATATACTTACATTGAAAATCAAAACTGAATGTAACACTGTCACCAGTGTAGTCTATATACTTACACTGAACATCAACACTGACTGTAACACTGTCACTTCTCCCGTGTGTATTAGAAGGTTGACATCTGTAGGAGCCTGTCTTAGATCTGTCAGCTTGTCCCTGGAGCACGGCTCCACTGCTGACAGTTGTTCCATCGTGTAACCACCTGTACATCCGGGTCTACAGAGGGCGGAGCACGTGATTGATGGAAGATCCTGGTGTTCTGTCACAGTGTAGGAGGAGGTGGAGGGGGTCATGGAGATCTGGTAGGGCCCATCTGGAATACATGGCACTGTGACACTGATACCGTGACACAATATATAATTATACCTCTAATAACACACACGAGGAAAACAATGATGAGTTGATTATATTCAGAAAAAGCACTTTGAAAACTGTATGACAACACATTATGTTTTTAATAGCAGCATGTACATAAACGAGCGATTGTTTAAACGTTCCACGGTTTGGTGTGGCTATCGAATTATAATTGTTCAGCATGATAAATACATACTACGTTCATCATTTGTTTATGGTTATGACGTTTTGTGTCTGTTCATGACGACAGGCTGTGAGACAAAAATAAACAGTATGGGGAAACTTGACAGTGGTCTGCTTCTGTAAATATTTGCAAAAAATCTAATTATCTAATTAAACACACGTGGTGCTGGCAAATGGTCAATCCCCCTGCTATTTTCCTTACGAGTGTGTTTCAAAACGAATCCATCGCGCAGCATCGAGTTTGAATGTGGTATCTAACGGGGAAGAGTTTTGTGACATATTTATAACTTAAACTTTGTAAATTCTGAGTTAAAAGAAAACGTCCCTGGTATAAGGGTGCCGTGTGAATATATATACAACTTTCGTAGCTGATGATTCGATAATGGGTTCTTCTCTCAAAGTGCAACCTCTAAATATATAGTGCGAAGCTTTCTCCGAGATCGATTGTAAGAACTGATAAGATCCAGATTCTGTAATAACGTTAATAATATCATCAACACTAACATTATCAAGTGAGAGACATCGGCAGTCAACAGGAAAATGTAGACGCATAGTATCAAACTCGGTTATGTGTATGCGATAGGAGGGCCGGAGACACGATCGACGCATCAGTCAATCACGTTTGTCATGTTGCCCATGCGATTTTACACGAGTCAGGAGGTAGTTTAGAAGTTATGAGGTGAGGTGAAATGTGGTTTACGTCGTGTCCAGGACTATAACAGTTATAAAACGACGTGCATGCACGTGTGTCTGTGTGTGTCTGGCTGATTGTACTTGTCCGAACTAATGCCGAGTGTGTTGTGCTGGTCAACTGAGATGCAGCACTCAGACACAATATACTGGCCCTGAGCCGACCAGTCCTTGTTTTAGGACCAAAATGCCGAGCGCCTGGCATGGTAATGTTTTTTATGTATTTTTGTGTGACGCGACCGGGAACCGAACCCACAGTCTTCCGATCTCCGGCGGACGTTATGTCCACTGGACCACAGAAGCGATCTTTTTAGTAATGGAATTGATTGTAATTATTGTTTGACATCACAAAAAAACGGTGCACTAAGACAGGGGATTGCATTGGTTGACATTTGCAAAATGAAGTTGAAAGAAGTAAGTATCATGAATGCTGTGTTGATGGTTTGATATAACGTATTGTTTATTAGTGATGCTCTGAAGCGTTATGTAACAACAATACTTGTAATACTGCAATAAAAAGTACATGCAATAGATCACAGGCGACTGAAAAATCCAACCGACAAATTCAAATATATATGTAAACAATGCAGCGAATGTTGAGATGAATGCACTGTATGACTTGTTTCGTGAATGTTAATAGTTCCTTTCTGGAGTAGGTTATCATCTGAAAGTAGAGTAAACATTATGTACGCCATACAACGATCAGCTGATGACTACAAATAGTCCGGACATGGTGTTTATACAACTATTTGTTTATTTAAACGGTAATATCTCCGAAGGGTATATAATTAGTATATATTACTTAACATTGAACAAAATGTCACTTTATAAATATCTTCATAATAACCTAACCTAAGGTACGACACATCAGGGGAAACATCTAGCCTGTGTAGGTGAGGGGAGTCATGTCTTGTTGACTATAACATTTCATAAAAGTGAGTCTGTATACCCTTTCGATGTATATATTATATATATTCATATGTCTATTTATTTGGGAGTCCTTCGATATAAACAAAGCTAGTGAAATAACTCATCGCATTCAACTAGTTATTTCAACAATTCAGCGAGTGATGAGAGTAAAGTGTTTAGTGTGGATGACTGTTTGGATTAGTAGTAGATCAGAGTAAGAGTAGGAGAAGTGTACAGTTTCACAGTGTTAGCAACGCCTGTATTCGAATAAACCGCTGATGACAAGGAATAGACCCATAATTTTTTAACAATGGGTGAGTAACAGATTAATTTAGTAGATCCCTTAACTACCAATGGCATGCGAACAGCCAGACAATATATCAATAGCTAATGTCACTGACACTCCCTATCCGTTTCGTCGATGAAAGTAGTTCTAAATGTAGTTATTTGTATTTTATTATTGTATGTTTTGTAACTGTTCATATTGACAATTGATGATTGAACCTTACCGAAATCAGTAGTGTGTGACATTTATAAGTAACGTGTTTACAGTACTTACACTGTGGCTCCATGTTGTACCCCTGGCTCCACTCTGACTCCAGACCCTGACTTTCTCTGGCTCTACATCTGTAGCTGTGACTGTCCCGGGAACTCACTGTGAAGGTGTAGGGGGAACCAGGGGAGGTAACTGTGATGTCAGTGTTGTCACGCTGCCAGGTGTAGGTCAAGGTCAGACCATGGTCAGCTGGGACAGAGGTAGAGGTGGAGCTACAGGTCAATGTCACTTGCTGGTTGTAGACAGGAGTTGTGGACACTGGACGGCCAGGAGTGGTTGGCTTGCCTTTCCAAAGACATCATATGTAAATTAGGAGCCTGTACATGTATACAGCTTAATATATATATATGTAAACAATGCAGATAGATCTAACAGTGTTTCAGTAATGTCTTATCAATACATTGTGCCCTTGTTTGCAGGCATGAACAGAATTATACTGGACATGCGTTACAGATATGTTTCGATTAAGTGAAGCTGGCGAATGTCATTATTGTAATGAATGTCTAGTTACGCATGCCTAATCGACTCTGCTTTATGCAGACATTTCTATTGGATATGGAAAGGGTTTTGTCGCTTTATTTACATGACTCAAAATACAGGATCAACAAAATACTGTGTAATCAGATGTAAAATACAGCCTAAAAGTTACAATAGGTCCATAAATAGGAGAAAAAAATACAATAAAAATATGCAGTACATTTGTAATACATGTAAACCTTATCCGAATATTCGTAGTGCGCGCACTTGTATTTTCTGTGATTCAGTAGATTCTTAAAGCCCGTGTTTAGAATTAATGCATGAGCTCAACATTTGCCTTGCAGAAAGTAGATCAGTAAACGGTCAATTGGTAACAGACAGTTGGAACAATGGAGTGACGTCACAGATGTATTTTAATTTGGGCTCCACACCACCGTAGCGACTACATGCACTAGACAACTTTCCCGAAATCACGTCAACTCTTCTTTTATGAAAAATACCAAGTACAAACACACGGAGGCACATTACGACCATGAACTCCCACCAATGTAAGCAATTACCCAAAGCGAGTCCACAATAAGCAGGGTCTACAATTTCGGTTTAAAGTGTATTGGATCTTAAGGAAACAAAATTCTGCAGAAATTTATTTGTCATGGTGTTTTGCTTATAGCTTTGCCTAGGAATTGAACATGGTCCATGTAGAAGGACCCCAACTGCTGAATATGGCCGGAGTAGAATATCATACCACAGGGTCACCCATTATGCACCTTCTATAACATTCGACCAGA